AAATAATAGAAAAAAAATTCCAACATTTGTGTTATGTATATATAATTTTAAGGCTGTCAAAATCAAATTATATTAATAATTTATTCATGAAAAAATTTGTAAAAAAATTTTATATTTAGATTTTATAATTCTAATTTGTATTAATAATTTATTGCTTTTTAATAAAATGTATTTAAAATATTTGCTTTCTTTATCTAAAAATTCTGACTTTTTGCTTGCAATTGCGAGTTTATAGCTTGAAATTCTGACTTTTAATTCTCAGAATTGCATGTTTATATCTTACAATTCTGATTTTATAAAGCGCAACTGTGACGTTATATCGTGCAATTCTGACTTTATAACTCACAGTTGTGAGTTTATATCTCACAATTCTGTGTGATTTAATGTAAACTTGCAATTGTGAGAAAAAAAATTAGTGGTGGAAATGGGCGTACATAGCTTTCTAAATACTGGTTGCAGTTATCACAGTAATAGGTAGTTTTGTTAAATACTAAATAGTTTTATACTTCTAGGTTGACAGTGTATCTACCCCCCATTATTTTGTATATAATAATTTTAGTATACTGACAATATAAAAACTAATTATTTAATTTAAAAGAAAATGTCACTGTAATTTCACACTCACTTTTTTAAACAGAGTATAAATGGGTCTTTATAGATGAAAATATTATGAAGTTTAGTATGGTGATAATTATATTTGGGGGTCCTTGCCATCAAAATTTATTACAATATTGCTTCTTTAGCTTAAGAACATGCTAGCTCCAAATTACTGAAATCACAACAATTATTAAGTCAGTTGAGCATATTCAGTAGAGTCAAAATGTTATATTTTGATTATATTATATAATTTTTATATAATTTTATTTATGTAAGAATTCAAACAGTGTAATTGATAGCTGCTCCCCATAATAAGTTACATTAAGTACACATAGTTCATTATTATTACAGTTCTTGCATAAAGCATTGTCATAACACAGATTACTTGCAGAACATGTTACTGCATCAAAAATAAAATTATGCTGCCCTGAGCTTCCATCATAAATGAACTGTTGGCTAAACTCCCTTGAAACACCCGCTTCACTTATAACCAGCATAAAGCATGAATTCCTATTGATTTAAGGTGACAGTTTTCTTAACAAGCGCACTGTCAGGTATCTCCATGTGCAAAGTGAGCAGCCCGATCCCTCAGTGGGGGGAAAAAAAGAAAGATTTACCCTCTACCTTCTGATGTAGAGGCTAGTCGTACTGACAAGGTGTGAAAAGAGTCATGATCGTCTATTTTCTAGCTTTCAGATCGTGCTTTGATGGCCCGTCAGAGCTTTTAAAACGACTCACTGAGAGAATCGCGACTACATTATAATACAGACGTGGCACATGTCCTGATAGACAGTGGTACTCTTTGAAATATCGGCCTATTTCTGCTCCGTCCAGTCCGACTGAAAGATGATTTTATAAGATGTCTGAGGTGTGTCACAGTATTAGCACTTAATATGGTTTAATCTCTTAAGTGACAGCGTTGTTGTTTATGCATGCGTGTCTCATCTCGTTCTGTCTCCATCTGTCTTTCCGCATCTCTTTGTGTCTCCTTACGTCTCCCAGCATCTTTTCTCTTCTCCTTTGTTTATTTGTTGTTGCTGAGTTGAGGTGTGACAGGATGGCCTGCGCTGCCTCTATCTCTCCTATAACAGGAAGTGACACGTGGTGGGACGGTGTGACACACGGAAATCAAAGTTGATGTCTGATGACAATATAGAGACACTCAACATACCTGTGTGTGTGTCAGTTAGGGTATATTAATGGACAGACTGCTGTGATTATTGTGTATTGGTTGTTCACTCAATGTGATTCTTTTACTATTCTAAGTAAGTGGACTAACAATATGTTTACAATAACAGGCGAAAAATCCCATAGACATGCTTTTAAGGAGGGACCCGAGTGAACTTTGAGACTGGGAGGACTTTATGGTTTGTTAGCAACCATAAAAAAACCACCCAGAACACCCTATCAACCACGTAGCAACATCCTATCAACGTCTCAGAACACCCTAACAGCCACATAGCAACATTCTAGCAACCTCCTAGAACACTCGATCAACCACAAAACAACATTCTAGCAACCTCTCAGAACACCCTATCAACCACATAGCAATATCCTTGCAACCACTTAGTACATCTTATGAACCGCATAGCAACATCCTAGCAACCACAGAGCAACATGCTAACACCCACTTGGAACACCTTAACTTGCAAACACCAACTTGGAGCACCTATAGCAACCACACAGAACATTATAGCAACCATGTAGCTACTGAAACCACTCAGAACACCCTAGCAACCATATAGAAAACCCTTAGCAACCACATAGCAACTTGTTAACACCCATCTGAAACACCTTAGCCACCCAATAGCAACCACACAGCTGCTGAAACCACTCAGAACACCCTAGCAACCACACAGCAACATGCTAACAACCACCTAGAAAACCCTTGCAACCACATAGCTACTTGTGAACACCTATTTGGAACACCGTAACAACCCAATGGCAACAATACAGAACATTCTATCAACCTCACAGCTGCTGACAACAATTCAGAACAGCTTAACAACCCCATAGCAACATCCTGGCAACCACACAGCTAAATGCACACACAGACACTCAGAACATTGTATCAACTGCATAACATCTTAGCACCTACCTGAACACCCTAGCAACTATACAGCAACATGCTAAAAACCACTTGGAACACCTTAGCAACTCCATATAACCATACAGTACATTCTATCAACTGCAAAGCTGTTGACAACCATTCAGAACACCTTAACAACCCCTTAGCAATGTCCTGGCAACCACCCAGAACACCCTAGCCAAACACACAGCAACATGCTAATGGGCCTCAGAACACCTAGGCAACTGCATAGCAAGCAACATCTTAGCAACCACCTAGAACACCCTAGCAATCCCATAACAACTTGTTACCATCCACTTGGAACACCTTAACAACCCCACAGCAACCACCCAGCAACATGCTAACGACCACCTGGAAAACCCTAACAACCACACAGCAACATGCTAACAACCACCTAGAAAACCCTAGCAACACCTGCTTGGAACACCTTAGCAACCCCATTACAACCACACAGAATATTCTCTCAATAGCACAGCTGCTGACAACAATTCAGACCTTAACAACCCCATAGCAATGCCCTGGTAATCACACAGAACACCCTAGCAATCATACAGCCGCATGCTAACAGCAACCACAATAACAGCACCTTGGCAACCACCCAGGATCTAATATAGATACTGATATTTTACTTATAATACATGTATGTGTGTACACAGTGGTGAGATTTATAGTTTGCATTTCATATGTTATTCACAGATATGATTATGATTATTTGGTCTATCCAAAGTGCAAAATTATCATCTGCATCTCCAAAACTGCATTCAGTGTTTGTTGTTTTTTTCCATGAGAATACATTAATAGTTTGGGTGAAAAACGGGCAAGGTTTACATATTCTTTACGTGTTTACTACACACTCCTGTACAACAAGTGAAGCAGAAATTTAATTGTAACTAATTAGCTCCCAAGAGGATTAATTGGATCCGCTGTCTTTATTCCCCAGTTTACCTGGGATATGCAAATGCCTCTAGTGAGAGAGAGAGAGAGAGAGGGAGTGGTAATGCAAGTTTCGATGAAGCGAAGTTGAAATTAGTTCGTAACAAGCTTAATTTCTGTCGCTTCACCCTGTTCGCTCTCTCCCTCCTGTGCCTGCAGCACTGTGGAGCCTGTCTAATTGAAAGCGCTCATATCGGTGTCATCCGACGTTACCCTGGTTCAAGAGCCGGGTCACGGCAAGCTTTTGTTCTTCCATGAGCCAGATCTGAGCAACAACAGGTGTTAATGATAATGACACACTCAGCTGCTCTGAACCGCACTGAATTTAAGTGTTCGGAACGGGAAGCCGTGTTCCTCTGAGAGAGGTTTTGGTTTCTAAAAAGGACAGTTGTTCATTCTGATGATCTCACATGAGAGACGAAGGGGCAAGAACAACACCGTCGGCTCCAACACCCTACCACCATCTGTCCACCTTGACTTTGAGACAAACTAACTTATCTGGGATAAGACCTTCTCTCGTCGACATTCCGGCTCAAGTTCAACCCTGTTTGTCCCGTATTAGGATTTGGCCGCTGGTATATTGTTCATTCTCTCCTTGACAAATGGGCCAGGCGGGGTGAAGGGTTAAAACAACTATTTTACAGCCAAAACAGGATATTGGGTCTCGCTGAGATAGTACAGCTAGGATACGCAAATAGAAAGGGTGGGGAGTGAGAGGATGTGGGGCTTTGCATAACTCTATTTCCTGTTGTGTTTCTATAGCAACCAACAGTATTAAAAATCACAATTCCATTGGCTATGTACACAATGCAGGTATGGTTGTCACTCCTCTTTTAAGTGTTTCCTTCTCAAGTCAAGTCAAGTCAAGTCAAGTCTGCTTTATTGTCAATTCTTCCACATGTACAGCACATACACACAGAGAATTGAAATTGCGTTACTCTCAGACCCTTGGTGCATACAGATAACACTAACAGTAGAACATAAATACAGATATACAGATTAAATATAAAATACAACTATACAAATATACAAATAAGGTAAAATGTAAAAAAAATATATAAAGCAGCACAAGGCACATGGCAGATAGCAGATAGAGTGCAAACCAGTGAAGTAAACAACAGTGCAGATATAATGATTGTAGTGCAAAGAGCTTATTCAGACTGATTAAAGTGACAGTGTGTGTGTGTATTTGGGAGGGGGGAGTGGGAGAGTCCGTCAGAGGGTCAGAGTTCAGTGGTGCGTGGGGCAAAAGAGGGGAGGGGGGGCAAGGTCGGGAGGGAGTTCAGCTTCCTGACAGCCTGATGGATGAAGCTGTCCTTCAGTCTGCTGGTCCTGGCCTGGAGACCACAGTCTCCTCCCTGATGGCAGCAGACTAAAGAAGCTGTTGGATGTGTTGCTGCCGACCCGAACTGCCTGAGGTCTTCCAGTCAGAAAGTCCAACAGCCAGTTGCACAGCGAAGTGTTGAGCCTTCTGTTCTGTACACACAGAATTTGGTTGTTGTAAAACCAAATTCACTTCCATTCTGGTAGTGACAGTGCGTACAGAACCAAATCGAAATAGTTGCGAACTATTGAACTGGCATCTCTTTTGGACACTCTTCTAAAACCGAATGCACTCCAGTTCAGGTTGTGAATGTGTGTACAGAAGCAAATCGAACTAGTTGCGAACTATTGAACTGGCATCTCTTTTGGACACTCTTCTAAAACCGAATGCACTCCAGTTCAGGTTGTGAATGTGTATACAGAAGCAAATCGAACTAGTTGCGAACTATTGAACTGGCATCTCTTTTGGACACTCTTCTAAAACCGAATGCACTCCAATTCAGGTTGTGAATGTGTGTACAGACCCAAATCGTAGTAGTTGCAAACTGTTGAACTAGCGTCTCTTTTGAACCCTGTTCTAAAACCAAATTCACTCTAATTCACATTGTAACAGCTGCATAGTTTGGAGAGAACCAAATCGGATTAGTTGTGAACTATCAAACTAGCATCTCTTTTGGATACTGCTACCTTGTCTGAAGTGCAAGTGTGTATGTTCAATCATAATATAGCACTTCTGTTGACTGTAGTTTAGTAATAAATGGCCAAACATTAATGTGTCTTTTGTTGCTATTTTTTTAATTAAAAATGTATCAAGCCAAATGATTGGCTACTGATGGCATCTACATTTCTGATTTACAGCCACGATATGCTAAAATTGTAAATTTCATCAGATTACCTTGTTTTGTAGACAAACAGAACAATCATTTGGGGGATTTGCTCCTGTATTTAAGTACGGTTGTCACTCCTTAAAAATGGTTGTACTCCTTTTGGGTCTGTTCTGTACACACAGAATTTGGTTGTTGTAAAACCAAATTCACTTCCATTCTGGTAGTGACAGTGCGTACAGAACCAAATCGAAATAGTTGCGAACTATTGAACTGGCATCTCTTTTGGACACTCTTCTATAACCGAATGCACTCCAGTTCAGGTTGTGAATGTGTGTACAGAAGCAAATCGAACTAGTTGCGAACTATTGAACTGGCATCTCTTTTGGACACTCTTCTAAAACCGAATGCACTCCAGTTCAGGTTGTGAATGTGTATACAGAAGCAAATCGAACTAGTTGCGAACTATTGAACTGGCATCTCTTTTGGACACTCTTCTAAAACCGAATGCACTCCAATTCAGGTTGTGAATGTGTGTACAGACCCAAATCGTAGTAGTTGCAAACTGTTGAACTAGCGTCTCTTTTGAACCCTGTTCTAAAACCAAATTCACTCTAATTCACATTGTAACAGCTGCATAGTTTGGAGAGAACCAAATCGGATTAGTTGTGAACTATCAAACTAGCATCTCTTTTGGATACTGCTACCTTGTCTGAAGTGCAAGTGTGTATGTTCAATCATAATATAGCACTTCTGTTGACTGTAGTTTAGTAATAAATGGCCAAACATTAATGTGTCTTTTGTTGCTATTTTTTTAATTAAAAATGTATCAAGCCAAATGATTGGCTACTGATGGCATCTACATTTCTGATTTACAGCCACGATATGCTAAAATTGTAAATTTCATCAGATTACCTTGTTTTGTAGACAAACAGAACAATCATTTGGGGGATTTGCTCCTGTATTTAAGTACGGTTGTCACTCCTTAAAAATGGTTGTACTCCTTTTGGGAAAAAAACTTTCTTTGGGATGTTTTTTGCACTAGAGAAACTTCTGATGGAGCGTTTTACTGATATGAATGCATTAGATGTGTTTTAAAGAGTTTGGAAAGTCAGAAGGATAATTTAGAGGATTTGCCCCTGTGGTTGTTAACTTGTTACTATATGGCAATTAAGAAGTAAACAGAGTTTTGAAGCTTGGTGGAAGAGCTTTTTGGGGTGCATTTGTGCTAGAGAAACTTTCACATGGAGAGTTTTACTGACAGGAATTTGTAAAATGTGTTTCGAGAGTTTGGAAAGAGTCTCAACAATAATTTAGGGGATTTGCTCCTGTATTTAAATATGGCTGCAATTTAGCATTTTTATTTTAGACTAGAGAAACTGTTGGACTGGGCATTTTACTGATAGGAATGCATAATGTGTTTTGAGAGTGTGGAAAGAGGAATCAGTTTGAATTAAAGCTGGAATACAGCAAATTAGAAATACCCGCCACGTTTACGTTTGAAAAGTTGTGGTGGGTGAAAGTTCTGTGTTAAATTACACCAAATGGAACATTGGGTTCAACAAGTAAGTTGTCGACTGGGTTATCTTTTTCTATTATTTGAACAATGGCAAACAGGGAGTGTTTGAAAATTGTTAGAAAATCCTCCTTAGTCAGTTCAGTTCAGTTCTCAATTTCGCGGGCCTTAATCATTAGCTGGTTTAAGTTTTGTTGAGGGATATGACCTCATAACCATGGGCAGACACTGTACAGACGCTTTCGTCTTGGAAAGAGGTCTATTTTTGGCGACAGTTTAACAAAAGTCCTCCTCGACGCTCTGCCTTGTCAGTGTTTGTAATCAGAGCACTGGAACGTAGAGCAAAAGAAACCGAGTGAAGGCTCAGCGGGGAAACTGTGAGCAAGGGAAACCGAGATGTGGAATGCCTGCATTTAGCAGCGGTTACATCACTGGACTTTTCCATTCTCCGCTCCACCGAAAACTGGGATGCATTTCTCGTCCAGACCAGCTCGCAGATGGAGCTTCTGCAAGCTTTCCTACTTCCTTTCCCGTCTGAGAGCTGCGTTTGTTTAAAACCAGATAACTGTTGCGTCTCGTTCTTATTCCTGACACTGTCATCTTTTGGCAACTCACGATTTATAAAGTCAAATCTGATTCCAAAGCAAATTTTGGTTCTTCTTTTTTATTATTATTATTATTATTATTATTATTTTCAATTATTGTTAAATTATTTTTTTTATATGTATGTACTTTATTTTATTTTTAAATGGGAGCCTGTTTCTGCCAAAAAATAAATAAATAATAAAAAAACATAATTGCGACTTTTTATCTCACAAGTCACTACAATTCTTGCAATTGTGAGTTAACATCTCGCAATTTTGATATTTAGATTTAGAATCTTTGTGGAATAAGATCTCAGAATTGGAAGAACCTCAAGTTTATATATCGCAAGGTTTATGTATTTTCTCGCAATTTTAAGTTTCTATCTCACAATTCTGACATTTTCCTCAGAATTGTGAAAAAAAAAATCTAAATAGAATTGTGAGATAAAAATTTGCAATTACCTTTTTTTATTTATTTTTTATTCCATGGCGGAAACGGACTTCCATAACCCTTTAGACATTATGACAGTAACGGCTCATTTAAACTATTTTAGCTGTTATGCTAGGCTCACATGTCATCGGTCACAAAACAAAATTTGTCACATTTTACATCATATTACCCTATGTAGACGTGTTACTCAACTAAAATGGCCAGCAAAACATTAAATTAGAGTTGTAAGTTGCAGAGCTGGATTGTCAGAGATGGGATGTGTTGTTAGGTGTTTGGCAGTGGGAGGAAGGAAGTAAAACTGCCAGAAAGGTGGCGGTTTGGAGTGAGATTAGACTGTCCTGCTGGACGCTGATAAGACGCCCAGTGTCCATGCATATCATACTCACTGACTCACTCGCTGAATTTACACGGAGAGATAGATGTGTCTGTCTAGGGATATTCCTTAAAGTAGTGGGAAAATAAATTACACAAGTATGGAGCAAGGTTTCCAAGTTAGCACCTACTCTTATATCTACATATTTAAAACTACTTTGCCCAGTCCACCTTATTTTGCAACATGGAAGTGAGCTATTTATGGGAATGCGTGAGACTTACGATTCATTAGATGCTGTAAGTAAATAACTAGAAGAATAACAAAGTGCAGTAGATGGTAAAACTATTTATGCTACAAACCAGTGTATTTATGATTATGATAATAAATTAAAAGAAGAAGCTGGAATGTCAAGCAGCATAACAGACTGTAATAAATAACTGGTAGCAAATAACACTGGAAGTCTTGTACATTTAAATTACAAATGACCGCTCTTACTAACATAAGGTGTCATGTACACTGAAAAAAAAAATGTGTTGAAAAGATTTAACCAGTAAATTTCACAAATAATTACAAAAAACCGCAAGACGACATTGAATTACATGTGAAATTTTGAAATAGAAATACTGAAATAGAATCTTCTTGTAAAACATACTCCAATAATATTTTTTTAAGTTTTATTTACAATTTGTTTTGTGTGTGTGTGTGTTTGAGGCAAATATAAAATCCTATAATAATAATGTTCTAGAATAAAAACAATGAACAATTTGATTTTATTACATTTCTATATGTAAAACAAATGACAATAATAACAGTAAACATTTGAGTTTATTTATTTATATTTGATTTCAATTATCTACTGTAAAATAATTTACATAATACTTCACAGATCACTACCATTCAGGCCTGTGTCTTACTATTATATTATATTTAATATAGATGGTATATCACACATATTATCATGATTTATTAGGGCTGGGTTTTGACACAAATTTCACGATTCGATTCGATTCTCATTCACAAGCTTGCGATTCGATTCGATTACCGATTCGATTCAATATTGATTATTTTGGATATATATCAGGTACAGTACATGCCAAATTTTCTCAAGGAAAAAAAGTCTCTCAACTAATGCTGTAAAATATATATGTGAGTCAGTTGCTACTACATTATAATATTGAATGTTAAAATTTACTGATTTGTGCTGTACAACGGCTTAGATTGCACTTAATGAAGTTTTTATAATTGGGTTACAATTCCTTCAGTTAGTTTTTTGGAAATATACACATTTAAATAGTGGCTGTCATAAAAACTTGGACGGATTTATTCAAACATA